TATCGTTGATGCCTTATCTCTGCAATCATGTAAGTTTTATTTTTGTCTGGTGTCCTTAAAAATGTACGACAATGGAGACTACTGGTTTCCCTATTTATGCACAATATAAGATGACCTCTGCTTCCCCTAATAATGTACAGTATAAGGTGACCTCTGGTCAACCTTGTGTTGTAAAATATTAGGTGACCTTGGTCCCCCTAATGATCTACAACATAGGGTGACATCTTGCCCCTTTTGATGTATAAGGTGACCTCTGCTTCCCCTAACGATGTACGATATAATCTGACGTCTGGTCTTGTACAGTATAAGGTGACATGTGTCCCCCTTGTGTTGTACAACATAAAGGTGACCTCTATTCTCCATAATAATATAAAGGAAAAGGTGACCTGTGGTCAACCTATTGATGCAAAAAACAAATTGACCTCTGGCCCACATATTGATGAACATTAAAACTAAACTCAGGCTCTGGTCCCCTAATTGATGTAAAATATAAAGTGACCTCTTCCCTCTATTAATATACAATAGAGATGACTTTTAGTCCCCCTTTTGATATACAAAATCAGGTGGTCTCTGGTCCCTCTATTGATGTGAAATATAAGGTGACCTCTTCCCCTATTTATATACAATATCAAGTGACTTCTAGTCCCCTTCCTGATGTTCAATATAAAATGGCCTCTGGCCCCCTATTGTTGTACAATATAAGGTGACCTCTGGTCCCCTAATAATGTACAAAATAATGTGATCTCGGATCTCTTTAATTAAGTACAACATAAGGTTACCTCTTGTCCCCCTAATGATGTACATGTGAATTGATCACTGGTCTCCCTACTGATGTACAAGATAAGGTGACCTCTGGTCCCCTACTGATGTGCAATATGAGTTGAACTTTGGTATCCCTAAAAATGTACATATAGGGTGACCTTGGTACCGCAGTGATGTACAATCTAGGGTTACCCTGATCTCCCCATAGATATATACATAAGGAGAACCTCTACATGCTGTCCCCCTATTAGACAAAAATAAGATGACCTCTGGTCCTCTGAATTAAAGGTTATACCTGGTCCCCCTATTTATGTACATAAAGGGTGACCACTGGTTCGTCTATTCATGTACATATAAGATGACCTCTGGTCCCTCTTATGATGTACAGTATAAGGTGACCTATGGTCCCCCTAATGATGTTCAATATAAACTTACCTCTGGTCCCCCTAATGATGTTCAATATAAGGTAACCTCTGGTCCCTAATGGTCTACAATATAAGGTGATCTATGGTTCCCCTAATGATGTTCGATATAAAGTGACCTCTGGTCCCCCTAATGATGTTCAATATAAGGTGACCTCTGGTCCCCTAATGGTGTTCAATATAAGGTAACCTCTGGTCCCCCTGATGATGTAGAATATATGATGACCGCAGGTCCCCTATTGATGTTCAATATAAGCTTACCTCAGGTCCCCCTTATAATGTACAGTATAAGGTGACCTATGGTCCCCCTAATGATGTTCAATATAAAGTAACCTCTCGTCCCCTAATGGTGTACAATATAAGGTGACCTCTGGTCCCCCTAGTGATGTTCAATATAAACTTACCTCTGGTCCCCCTAATGATGTTCAATATAAGGTAACCTCTGGTCCCCTAATGGTGTACAATATAAGGTGACTTATGGTCCTCCTAATGATGTTCAATATAAGCTTACCTCTGGTCCCCTAATGGTGTACAATGTAAGGTGACCTCTGGTCCCCCTAATGATGTTCAATATAAGCTTACCTCTGGTCCTCCTAATGATTTTCAGTAGAAACTTACATCTGGTCCCCCTAATGATATTCAATATAAGGTGACCTCTGGTCCCCCTAATGATGTTCAATATAAGGTGACCTCTGGTCCCCCTGATGATGTAGAATATATGATGACCTCAGGTCCCTCTAATGATGTTCAATATAAAGTGACCTCTGGTCCCCCTAATGATGTTCAATATAAGGTGATCTCTGGTCCCCCTGATGATGTAGAATATATAATGACCTCAGGTCACTCTAATGATGTTCAATATAAGGTGACCTCTGGTCCCCCTGATGATGTAGAATATAAGCTTACCTCTGGTCCCCTAATGGTGTACAATATAAGGTGACCTATGGACCCATTTATGACGTTTTATATAAGGTGATCTCTGGTCTCCTAATGGTGTTCAATATAAGGTGACCCCTGGTCCCCCAATGATGTTCAATATAAGGTGACCTCTGGTCCCCTAATGATGTACAATATAAGGTGACCTCTGGTCCCCCTAATGATTTTCAATATAAACTTACCTCTGGTCCCCCTAATGATGTTCAATATAAGGTGACCTCTGGTCCCCTAATGGTGTACAATATAAGGTGACCTATGGTCCCCTTAATGATGTTTGATATAAGGTGATTCCTGGTCCCCTAATTATGTTCAATGTAAGGTGACCTCTGGTCCCCCTAATGATGTTCAATATAAGGTGACCTCTGGTCCCCCTGATGATGTAGAATACATGATGACCTCAGATCCCTCTAATGATGTTCAATATAAGGTGACCTCTGGTCCCCTAATGATGTACAATATAAGGTGACCTCCGGTCCCCTAATGATGTACAATATAAAGTGCCCTCTTGTCCCCTAATGATCCACAGTATACTATAAGGTGACCTCTGTTCCCTCAAATGATGTGGAACAGAAGGTGACATCTGGTCTCCCTTTTGATGTACAATAAGGTGATCTCTGGTCCCCCTAATGATGTTCACTTAAGGTGACCTCTGGTCCCCTATGGATGTACATACCAGGTATAAGGTGACCTCTGGTCCCCCTATTAAGGTACAATATGAGGTCACCTCTGGCCCCCCTAATGATACAATATTAGGTGACCTCTGGTCATATGATTTTTTTGTTACCTCTGGTATCCGCATAAACATTTTGGAAACAAGCGGAAGGAAGCCGTATATCATGATTTCATAGCTCACAAATTGTAGTATACGAATGAGACAAAGGAAAACGTTAACTTATGTTGTACATTATTATGATGGCACTGAAAGTTTTGAGTAGGTAATAATTTCAAAATCGTGGTATGCGTAGAATTATTTTTCAAATCCACCCCAAAAAACTTTGCGACCCTAATTTTTTGACAGGGAAAAAAGTGCACCATTTCTCCGAATTCTCTAAGTGTATGTAATTGGGTTAGTCAACTTGCTTGTCTTCAAATACAGTATATGTACCTAAAAAGTAATTCACAATTGGTGCATTTTTTAAAAAGTTTTATCTCTTTTTTTAAAATGTAGTTTTGATTATTTTATAAATTTGATGTGTGAATTCCATTGAAAGTGGGAGAACTCCAGCCCTAACCATCGCAATACGTACATCTTCTTTGTACGATAAATAAAATCAGAAGTTTACTAAATAGTGTTAAATTGATGATATCGCCTGTTGAGGCATGACGGCATAAGGAAGACAAAGGTCACATAAAATAATTTATTAACAATTAATTATTGTTCAAGGATGTTAAAGGATCGGTGAGAAGTCCGAGCGAAATGAAGAGGGTGGGGGTGGTAGGGGGGGCAATATCTTGCTCCTCCTGCTTGTTAGAGATCTGCAAATGCAGAGACTGGACGTCGTTTACTCTGAATCGCTTACTATTAGTAAGGAAATCAGAGGTTAGGCACTGTATTAAATAGATACTATAACCTTACAGGGAATAATAAAATCATAAGGGAGACCACAGGTCACCCAACGTAATCCATAGATGTTAAACTCTTATATATCATATATTTGTAGTTAATAATGTTGTTCTTCACCCCCCCCCCCTTTCATCCTTTCTAATTCCCATCCGATAGTTATTTCTTTGGCAAAAAATAAATTTTCTGGGTTTTTTTTAACACTGTAAAGGCTTCATAGTAGTACGATTTATTCTATTTTCACTTTACGTATTCAACGCACTACATTTTGTAGCGGAGTAAAAAGGCCCGATAGTCGTGAACTGAACAGGGGACCTAAGGTCCTAGTTGAGCGTACGTTTTATCCTTCTGCAGTTTGCCCACGGGTGACAAGTAAAGACGAGATCACCCGTGGGTTTCCGACGATGGATATAGTATTAAAAATAGTGAAATATGATTTAGGAGAATCTTTTCCTTTCGATGGGAATTAAAATTTAAAAAATGGAATAAAAAAAATAGCTGCACAATACACATTGGAATCCTAAATGTGCATTCTTAAGTAATTACCAACATTAAGTTTATGAAACACAAACTTAAAGCCATATATGGCGTATGTACAATGAAAATTATTAGACTAAAATTATAAAAACTTATTATTTGTATCATTACTTTATATAAAGATAGAACTTTTCCGTAAATTACAAAATCTAAATCAATTGCGTTATAAAGATATCACAATTTAATTTGGATTCTCGGAATTTTCTCCGACTCGGAAATAAATACAAAAGATTTAAATAACACATTACAGAGAAGATAAAATCGTATTATTAGTTGAAACGAGGTGTTCTCCGTGTTCAGAATTGTATGAAAAGTTTTAATTTAAATGTGTTAGCTATATTTCTTTACTTAATTTTGTATTTTTCAAAAATATATTTTTTTGATCAGATACGCCATATATGGCTTTAAGACTCAATAAGCATCGTCGGAAACCCACGGGTGATCTCGTCTTTACATATCACCCGGTGATAAGTAAAGACGAGATCAAGTACAACGTGATTAATATGAACAGGTACTTTTCGTATTATTACCATTTTCACTGACATTCTATAAAAATGTACTTTATATTTTCAATATAGTTGAATAGAAAGAAAAAAATTTGTACGATACAAGCAACTTTTATCTCAAGGAAATTTAGAATACTATGTGTTTTGTAATAATGACTTTTAGAAAGTGACTGTGAATTAAAACTTTTTAAAAATAACGGTTCGACTATTTTGAACAAAGAAAATGCATAATGTATTTGTAGTTTTTAAAATTAAAAATTTAATCAAAAATTTTAATTATTTCAGTCAGTCATTATTTTCTTCCATAACGAATTTCTGTAGTACTTTCATTCTAGAAAGAAAACATTCATGCATTACAATACCAAAGTAGGAAAATTAAAATGCGAATATAAGTATATCTTTGTTTATTTAAAAAACATTGGATATTATTTTAAAAGATATTAACCTGTTATTTCATTTAGAAAAATTATAAAAAAAAACAAAAAAAAAACGGGAAAACTCAATCATACCAGATTGCACATTTACTGCACGTGTGAATGGCAGTGACAGAGATGATGGTCGCACGTGGCGTGTTGACCAGGCTCGCACGTGCAGTCGTACGGGTGGTTACACTCGTGAGTACTGTGATGACAGTGACACTTTCCGTTGTGACAGTGGGGAATAAGACCAGTGGTGCATGTGCAGTCAGCATCTGTCACACAAGTGTCCTTTGACAGTGCTCCCACTGAAAATTATATTTAAAGAACAAATGGGATTTTACTTTTTTTCTTTCTTTCAGTCATGGAAGAATCCCATCATATGATAGCAAGACAAGATTTTTTAGCTTACCCAACGAAATACAGAAAAACCAGAAAGCCAGAGGGTTCCTCATGATTACGTGTAATAAAGTACAATGGACTCAGAGGAATAAAACAGCCGTGCACGTACTAGTAGAGATAAGATAAACATATTTTCGAAGTCCAGCCTTGAGAACATGCTGTCCTTCACGTTTCATTCAAATTAATCATGGGTACAAAGGTACTCAGTAAATACGTTAGTTTTAATGTGAAGGAGATTGATAAAAAATTTAGAACTATTATTTATTGTAAAGAACCATTTTGCTTATCTTTTTCTGAGATATCATAAAGATTATAACAATTCTTATTTTTGTTATAATTTGAAAATAATTGCACATTTACAAATTCAACAAAACACCTAATACACCCAAATGTTCTTTTTATGAATGAAGTACTAAGTATGCAAATAAGCTTTAATTGTACAAGACCTATGATTTACTTTTTTTTTTCATTTTTCCCACCCAACTTGTTCGATACTCATGCAAAAGTTAGCATGTACATGTAAGATGAAATATGTGGACATAATAAACAGTTTTGAGTTCAAAAGTCCATAGATCATAAAATGTAAAACAGGAGAGGAGCAAACACGGACCTCCAAAACATCAGAGGAGGATCAAGTGACATGGAGGAGTGAGTATCCCTTGCCGACAGGTCATATCCGCCGCGTACTCCTTTTCATATTCGGAAAAAATGGAAAAATCCGTTGACAACTCAGTGTTTAAATAATGGCCTAACAATCAGAAAAAAGTCAGTCAGAATTTGACTCATTGATAAATTATATTTGCCGACAAGGTCATTGTATCGACCGTAGAACTTGCGAAATGATGACTTTAAATGAAACTACTGATTTTCTTGCTTCATCAACTTGTTGACCGTTCACGGTAGCTCAGTCGGTAGAGCGCTCGCTCCGTGATCGGGAGGTCGTGAGTTCGTATCTCGGCCGCGACTGACCTAGTCGTTAAAATGGGTAGCAACTGTTCCTTCGCCATGCGCTCGGCACTTTGAAGTGAAAGTTGCGGGTCCTTCGGATGAGACCTTAAAAACCGAGGCCCCGTGTCAGCGGCAGGCATTGGCACGATAAAGACCCCTCACTGCTCAATGGCCCTGAGTTCCGAGTACGGGTCAAAATTTAAAATCACTTCACCGGCATACGGTGACGTCTCCATATGAGTGAAAAATTCTCGAGAGGGACGTTAAACAATACACAATCAATCAATCAATCAACCAACCATCAACTTGTTTAAGCTAAAGTCGTTTTAGAAACTGTTCATACATACAAAATGCTCTCGCGTATCGTTTCAGCTGAGATAAGCAGTTGATGAAGTTATATTGCTGCATAAGTAAGGGAAGATGACGATTGAGAAGTTAAAGACATCGGGTTGATCACAAAGCTTGGTTTTTGGATTACTAGTACCATTAATTACCATTAACGTTTTTTTTTCAAGTAAAATATATACATGTAAATACATGTGTATGAAAGAGATGTGTCAGACTCTAAAGTATCTTTTATTCTAAGCTCGCCGGGATACATTGTATATTGTCGATAATCTAAATGTCAAATTGAAGGCCACTGCAAGTGTTTTCTTGTAACGTTTTAGATTTTGGACAAATTCTACTTAATATGAATACAAAAAAATATGTCTGCTTAAATAACGCGGTGCAATTGGTACCCATGGAAATTCCAATAGATTGCTGAAGACGGCCTGGTTTCCAAAAACCACATAAATATTGTCAATAAGAAACACAAGCATCTTTTAAATATCATTTTCAGAGTATCTTCGTGTACAATAAAATATTTTTTAACAAAATAACTTGGAAATGACAATCGACATGGTAAGTGAATTTACAAGTTCCAATTTTATGAAAAAAAAAAACCACCAAGATTTCAATGATATCAAAGCCTGCACTTTAATTTATCCTAGGAAATTGTTTAATAGTGATTGTTGGAAGACCTGGTTTCAAAAAAAATATTGTCAATCAGAAACTCAAGCATCTTTTTGATGTCAACTTCATAGTACTTGCGTGTACACTCAGAATATTTTTAACAAAATAATTTTGCAAATGACCAATGACAAGGTAAGTATATTTACGAATTCCATTTTTATTGAAAAAGCAGCTGTCAATGATATCAAAAAGCCTGGACTAGAAATTGGGGGATGGTTGTATATAAAATTGAAAAGTAACAAATTTTTATGCTGTTGATTGTATCAAAATTTTGAAAAGTCATATGTTTAATGCTGTTGATTTTGGTAAAATTATAATTTCAATTCTTCCAGAAGTTCTTTGGAATTTTTAAGTATCCACATCTGATTTACACCACCATTCGAATATACTGTTGCACAGTATTCTTGAAGTTTATCCTTCACTACTGTAAATATTTTAGTGAGGAATAAAGAAAGAGGTTTGGTATAACATTTACTGGAAACCGTTATGAATCTAATTGAAAGAAAAAAAGATACTGTAAAAACTTCGGAGAATTCAAATAAGATGCACCGTGTGCCCTGTTAAAATCGGTGAAATAAAGGGTACACAAAATAGAAGAAGAATATTAGAACATGATTTTTATGGATCTTTTATTGTCCTTAATAAATAAATAAACAGCAGCAAAAGAAAACAAACGTAGCATCAAGTACTGTTTTCCGGAAATTCTTCAAAATTATCTAAAATAAATTTAGACATTTAAAAATTATTTAATGTGCTTTTTGAACAAATAATAATATTATAAATACTAATATCTCTTTTGAAAGTCATGCAAAATGTCTGAAGTTTACCTTTAAGGGACAGTGGAGGAGGGGTTGGATAGACAATGACACAGATGGTGATCACATGAAGGAGTTAGATTGGAATCGCACATACAATCCTCTGGATGGTGGCATTCGTGACCACCCATTTGATGACAATAGCAAACACCCATGTGGCAATGCGGCATTTTGTCTGTTGCACACGTGCAATCAGCTGTTACCGAACACGTGTCTCGAACAGAAAATACCGAGCACACTGGAAAACAAATCATTGCTATACGTACAGTAAATCTACTTATAACTTTATTTCATTTAGAGAAAACATTGATATTGGTTATTAATGAAACATACCCAAGGTTGATATAATTATCACGCAAATAATCGATGTCCTCATATTCAAGACAAATATAAATTATGCTTATTGTGTGTCATTTTTCGTCTTTAAATAGTCTGATAAGAATATGAGAAACAACATCAGTGCATTAGCATAGGGTTTAGCATGAAAAGAGTATATGATACATGTGCTTATGCTTTTTACTCAAGGACAACTATTCACATTAATTTTAATTTAAAAAATCAACAATCAGTTATGTCTTTATTATATTCAAATTATTAACACCTAGTAATTTTTTTTAAAAACAAAAAGCATTTCAAAAGGGGAGGAGAGGGGTGAAAAAAGTTACAATTTACTGAACCCCGATCTTTTAAATTGCGTCATAATTTCATGAATATTAAGGATTCTGTGGAAGATTACGCCAGACATTGGGCCAGGCATGCATAAGAAGACGCATTATCAGAATGGATTAAATGTATTTTAAATTTCCCATGAAGCGATTGAGGGGCAAAATGAAAACCAACTGGTCCTTATGTGTTCAATAATTTTGAAGTGAAAAAAAGAATTAGATAGAATACATGATCAGTATGTGCTGGTCGATGCTGAAAAAACAGGTAACAGCATTGTCTTGGAAGGCTTTTTATATAATTTTTATTTTAGAGGAACTGGAATTTAATTCTACAAATGTTAATTCAACTTATCCATAGCGCCCATTCTAAGGAGAAAATTTTTCAAAATCGTATGTCAGTTTTGAATATTTTTAACAATCAATACCAAAATAAATTTTTGAATTACCATATCTCTATTCGATTCCGAAATTTCATAAAAATTCATACAAACAAACATACCACGCAGGTTCCAGTAAATGTTCTACCATGCCTCTTTCTTTCTTCCTTTACTCCTCACTAAAGTATTAATATCAGAGAAGGAGAAACCTCAGGAGTACTGTGCAATAATAAATTTAAGAAATGGTGTAAATCAGATGTGGATATTTAAAATTTCCAAAAAACTTTTAGAAAATTTAAAATCACAAAATTTTACCAAAATCAACAACATAAAGACTTTTTGATATTACATACATGACAACCATTCCCTATTGTTTAAGTCTAAGCTTTCTAACATCATAGATAGCTGCTTTTTCAATGAAAGTGGAACTCGAACATTTACTAACCATGTCATTGGAATGACGCTCGAGTTTCTTATTGGCAATATATATGTGGGTTTTGAAGACTTCCAACAATCTAATAGAATTCTCATGGGTATCGATTGCGCCCCGAAAGCTTTTAAAAGAAGCTTAGTAATATTAACTTTTTATAAGAAAATGTGGAATAACCTATTTCATAATTTCCTTTATTAATTACTTGGATTGGAAATTGGAAAGAGGAGTTTATATGTGACCGCGTGGCCTAATGGATAAGGCGTCCGACTTCGGATCGGAAGATTGCGAGTTCGAGTCTCGTCGTGGTCGATATAACTGTTTTTTTTTTTTTTTATCATGTTTATGTCAGAATGTACACATGGTGGCGTTCTTTTTTTTACATTGCCTTGATTAGCTGAAAAACTGTAGCTCTCTGCTTGAGAAAATTGGACAGATAAAGCAGAGAGCTACAGATCCATGCGTTGTAAAAACCTTCGATTTACGCCGACGATTTTTTGTCGCTACTTTAGGTTTTATTTCGTGTAGTATAAGCTTTCTCTGGATTTTTGAATGGTATCATATATGTAACTCTTATTTTTAATACTTTATTTGCCTTTTAACTGTCCGAAACAATCCTGTAAATAGTTTTATAATGTCGGTTTAAAAGAGTTCCATTTCGACGTCGGTAACCACAAACAGTCATTTGTTAGCGTTGAAAGGTAAGTAAATTATCAGAAATTAAAATTAAATGTATGATTAATTATGAAATACCATTTTTAAAGCTAGGGAAAGTATAAAAAACAAGAAAAAATACCCGAAGTGAGCGACAAAAAATCGTCGGCGTAAATCGAAGGTTTTTTAGAAATGCATGGATCTGTATGCTCTCTGCTTTATCTGTCCGAATTTTTTCAAGCAGAGAGCTACAGTTCTGCAGCTATGCCTTGATGAATTTTTTTTATTATTAACAAACATAAAAGTTATAAATAATAGTTTCAAAAATTCGCTTTATATTTTTTCATGGTTATGTGTAGGTTTCAATTGTTTTTAGTTTCTCAACATATTTAAATTAATTTAAGATTATATTATACAGTTATTGACTGGGTATGAGGGCAACATATGATTTGTTGGACCTGAAGGTTAAAATGTTGCCCGAGGCCGCAGGCAAATTTAACAAATTTGACGAGTGACTTACCTTAAGCATCTTTTTGATGTCGACTTACAGTATTTGTGTGTACAATCAGAATGCTTTTTAACAAAACAACTTTGCAAATGACCAATGACAAGGTTAGAAAATTTTCGAGTTCCATTTTTATTGAAAAAGCAGCTGTCAATGATATCGAAAAGCCTGGACTTTAATTTATCGTGAGGAATGAATCAAATGTTTTTTTTTTCTTAAATGCTGAAATGATATTTATAAATGTATATATTTGTGACCGATTTAATGTTTTGCATCAATTTAAATTGTATGTAATAGAGGTAAAGATTCTTTATGTATAACAACAAAGATTTAGTCAACGTTTTGGTTAAAATTATACTTCCTTGAAATATATCTAAATGTCAAGTAGATGACCAAAGCAAGTGCAAATTTGTTCTTCCCAATTAAGTTAAAAAATATAAATTCTGTTACATAGGAATATAAAAACATGTCAGCTAATAAAGAAGCCAACTATAGTGCCCATAAAATGACATACTAGTAGTCTTCGAAGACTCTGGAGTACTATTGTTTGTAGAATCAGAGTGATTTTGTACAAAGTAAATTTGTTTAAGACCAATCACAAGATAAGAAAATTTTCGACTTTCGTTTTTATTGAAGAAGCAGTTGTCTAAGATATCAAAACCCTAGTTTATAATTTATAGTGAAGAATGGTTGCATAAAGTGAAGATAATTCTTACATTTTGATGTTGATAACTTTTGAAAAAAATGTCGATTTTAGATTGAATAAAAATTCTTTGGAGTTTTTAAGAATCCAAATCTGATCCAAATCTGATGTACATCACCTCTTGCACAGTATATCTGTATTCGAAATTCGGTGATATATATAGTCAGAGCGCTCGCTCTGTGATTGTAAGGTCGTGTATTCCAGCTGAGACTTAGACTGACCTAAAAAATAGGTAGCAACAGTAAATGTTCCTTCGCCAAGGGCTAGGCTCTTCGGAGGAGGTTGCGGGTCTTTCGGATGAGGCCATAAAAACTGAGGCCCTGTGTCACGGAAGGCATTGGCACGATAAAAAATCCTCAATGCTTAAAGTACAGAGTAAAGGTCTGAATTAAAGCCCTAGCTTCATCAGTATATGGTGACGTCTCTTCATAAATGAAAAATTCTCAAACAGCTTATAAAATCAACAATCTAAAGAAGGTTCGAATGATTTATTAATTAATATCCTAGTTCACTCGTCCGTCACGTTTTTGTCTTCCTCAAACTCTTTTCAAATTTTCTGTAGTGGCCAAATGGAGCCAAAATGCTGTGTTGGTTTAAAAAATTATTTACAACCTGGAGTCGAAAATGACATTTTCAATTTAAAAAAAACATTGTTCCCGATATCCCTCTCACATTTTTAAAGTAGCCTAATATTCTTTTGGATGCTGATTGTTGGTGTACTATACTATAGAGATGTAGTAAGATTTCGGACATTTCATTTCCAACTTAAGACCCTTTTAAGGGTTGAAAGGGACATTTCTCTTCAGAAGTCTGGTTTACAGAATTTCTCTTTTATCTTTAAGTAGTCAACCCATTTCTGGAAGATGACTTCTGGTGACTTCTGGTGTCCTAGCTGTAGTTGTGCAAGAAGGTTTCGGAAATTTCACTTTCACTCTCATGGGTCAAATGAGGTGTCGAAGACGGTACTATAACACTGATTCCTAGAACTCGTCTTACTCTTTTGCAGTAGCCATTACATCCTTTGGATAATGCTTGGTGGTCTCCTTTAAATGTGCAATTAGGCTTCTGTATTTTCATTTTTACCCCGTCATTGTATTACGTATTTTTTTTTTAAATTAACCATTCAACTCCAGGAAAAATAGGATTCACTTACAAAAACATTTCAAAGTTTACATAGGATTTTTTTTAAATTTAGTCAATCTTTTAATTACACATGATGGCAATGACAGTGATGGTGGTCACAGGTAGGTGTCTCGTTGTCAGCACAGGTACAGTCGCTGGCCTGGTGACACTCGTTGGCATGGTGACAGTGGCACGTGCCTCCATGGCAGACGGACGTTTGACCATGATCACAAGTTGTTGAGGAGCAGTCAGCGTCCGATGTACACGACTGACTGACAACTAGTCCTGCAAAATCAAACTTTGCAGATTGTTTTTTCAAGTCTTCGAAATTTGTTGAATAATACTCATATCTCTTACGTAGTTCATACATCTCAGTTGATTCGATATGCAAGAGCATGCTCTATGTATGAACAATTTCTAAAACGATGTAAATTATTGACAAACAAGTTGATGAAACAAGAATATCAGCAGTCTCGTTTATCTATGTCATCATTTCGTAAGTTCTATGGTCGATACAATGACCATGTCAGCGAATGAAATTCATAATTAAGTTTATTAAATACTGACTACTTTTTTTTTAATACAAATTGGTAGTCCATTATACACTAAATTGACGACGGATTTCTCCGTTATTTCCCAATCATGACAAAGAGCACACTGCGGTTGTGACCGGTCGGCAGTAGTGCTCACTCCACCATGGGACCTGATCCCACCTCTGATGTTTTGGAGGTCCTTGTTTGCTCTGCTCCTATTTTGTATTGTTTAACAGAATGCACTTTTGATCTGTTCGTTATCTCAATATATTTCATTTTTACCAGTTTTTACCTAATATAACTTTATATAAGTTTATAAAACAGTTTACTAAAGATGAAAAATTTTTAATGTTCACATACATTTCTGTTTAATATTGTCTTACTTCTTAAAAATATGGCAACCTATATTTTTTTTGTT